GGAGCAGAACGCCTCATCTTTCTCCCGCGGAGCAGCTGGTAGTTTCGAACTGCTGACCTGAGGTTCGCAGCCCGATTCGTAACCATTAGGGAGTGAAATTGTAAATACAGTTTTTGGTTCAAAATTATTGTAATTTTAGTGAAAAAATCTTAACAGAATAAACTTCTATTCAATAAAGTAAAAAAAAAAAGAAAAGAAAAGGTATTTTTAAATCACTATACAAGAAGTATTCAAGATGAAGAAACAAAAGTGTTTCGATGGAATGACTAGGAAGGCATGAAACTGAAGATAAAGACAGAGCAGAGACCTAAAGGTGAACACTAAGGGAGAAAAGTGAAAGACATCAACATATTCAGGAGATAAAAAGATACCTATAAATACAAAGGCAGCAGAAGACAAAGCAGGGGTTGTAGCAAAGCCTTCATAAAGTATCATCCTCCATCTTATGCTATTTAAAAACAATGCTACATTTCTTTAACCTTAGTTACATTTGTATATATCACTTCATATTTGCTCTGAGTAGATGAAAATGATAGGCTAAACAAACATACATATAAGAGATTCTAACAAAATTAGTTCACTAGATTACAAACAATACAAATATGGAATAAAAGTAGGCAGAAATACATACATTGGCAATGCATGCCTCAATAGTCTGGACTGTCCTTTTTAGCAGTACTTTTGCAAGGTCAAAAGACTGCTTATTTAAGTTCTGGAAAACAGTATAAGAACACACAGTTAGTTATAAATAAATTCAACATAACTATGAATCAAGACCTAAAATGCATTAGGATAGCCAAAACTTCAAGTCTTATCAAACTGAAAATAAACCTATGGCTTTCTGGCTTTAAACATCTGTCACCCAATTTGAACTGGAAACTATACTTGGTGTTATCTACAAAAACAAAACAAAAAAACCAACCCCAAAACCCAATACATTTATGTAACTCACAATGTTCAGTATTTCAGTATGTTCTGAGGAAACACAGTCCGCAGAAGTGTTCTGGGTAAGAAGGATTCTTGATCAATTGTACTTCTGAAATACTGTGCACCCTCCTCCAGATTGCCAATGTACTCTTAACACATTAAAGTGTCTATAAGGACTGTAGAAAAGATATTATTTCTAAAAAATTTAATGAAAAATTGTTTGAAGAATGCCAATTAACATCTTTATATTTTGAAGTTTTGAACCAAAATGAGATGTGTTCATAATCTCCTTGTCCTACTAGCAAAAAGATGCTAGTAAAATATACTTAAAGCCAGTGATCAATGAACTTTTTTCTAAAGGGCCAGATAAATACTTAGATTTGGGACATTACAATATTTAGTCTTTACTGCCACTACTCAATTCTGCAATTGTAGTGTGAAAGCAGCCACAGGCAAAATGAAAATTAATGAGCATGGCTGTGTTTCAATAAAACTTTATTTATATAAACAGGCAATGGGCCAAATCTGGTCCACAAGCTATAGCTTCCTGATTTCTGCTCTTGGCTTTCATTCCATTGTAAACAAAACAGGATTAGTATTTTTAAAAGTCAATTTTCTATTTCCAAAACAGATGTGTTGCCCCCTCATAAAAACATTCTCTATCTGGAATATAAATGCCAAATATGCTTCACATTTCCCTCACAGTTTTTCCTCTCTTATTCTGCCTGAGATATACTCCCCTGTGACATACTGTCAAAACTTTTACCAGCTACATATTCATTTGAATGAAATCCAAATGAATTAAAGAAATAAAGTAAAATAAGAGAATTTAAAGTTAATCACATCATATTGTGAATAAGTTTAATTAGATACATTTAACACCTGCCAACAGGCCACTGAACCATTAGTGTAAAAGAACAAGAGGGCAGAAAAAGAAAATGTGGAGCCCAGTGGAGGAGCTTACGGGGAGCCATTCTTTCGATTTCTTAGGACAATCTGGCATGGAAACATATAAAAGGGAATACAGGGAGGAATGATATGCCTCTGATCCATCCATTCCCCCTTAACATTAGTGATATAGTTTCTGCTTCTTTCTAAATCCCTTTCTAAAAATGCCTAAGAAAGACATATAATAAGGATTCTAAGAAGATTTCTGAATCCCTGTGTTCTACATCATAAATTTTACATTCCAAATAAAAGTAACCCAAAAACCAATACTCTGTGCCCTTACAATTTCCATACTCAATAGGAGTGGTGAATATAAGAAAAGAAAGCATTTAACTGTATGAAAATCTGCATCAACATAACAGTATGTTAAATAACGTCTTCTGAAAACAAAAATGGCTACAAGGCTAATGTGTGCTACTCTATTTTAGTTAAGGCTGGGGAGTGGTAGTGAAAACAGTTATGTACGAGGGCAAATTGTCAAAAACAATTACTCATTTGCATGTGTAGTACTACCATTAAATGTTAATCTTTAATATCATTATTCTCTACAGACCTTATGTGCAGGAATGAGGTTAATAAGAATGGAGTCCAATAATTCTTGAGTAACTCCATCACCTTCCATGATGATAGAACTCATCAAGTCCAGCATGTGCATTTGTACCTTCTTATTGTGGCTATTGCTAAAATAAGAAGGGAAAAAAAATGCAAAGATTAAAAAAAAAAAAAAATTAAGCTTCCAAGGTTTAAAAGAATAATCTTAGACATAAAAGATTTTCACGTAGAAGAACTGTGCCATAAGGGCAGCATTTTCCTAAGGACAGAATTGAGAAGGGATGGAAGGTGGGTGGAATGCAAATAGGAACCACAGGGAAGAAGCAGGATAACTATTGTTGCAGGGGACTGCAATCATTGAGATGAAACAAAGTGCACGATTTGTTGAATGTAAAACTGAAGATCTTGTCTCTAAACCTTCACTCAATTAAGAATAAAAAATTAAATGGAAAAAAAAAAAGACTAACATAGCATCTGTAATTTATTGTTGTAAAGTATTTTAACAAAACAAAGAACTTCAAAATGAGTATGTCCTTACCCAATCTGTATTCCAAGAGTGAGTTAAATTCAACTAAACAAAAATGTCAACATCAAAGAAAGAACTGTTTTGTTCTTACCTATGTCCCACAGTTTAAAGGGAAACAAACAAAAAAGGTACAAGGTAATGAAAGCAGATAATTTTTAAATCTTTTTTTTTTCTTTTAGATCTTAATGTATTCCCTAATATAAGATAAAACAATACATAGTCAAACACAAAAACAGCTTAAGCAAACACAAAAATTTTTTGTTTTATCTTCTGGTGTTGCATTGTAGGATAAACACTTGACCTCAAGGTTAGTTCGAACTGCAAGGTTGGTGGTTCAAATTCTCCAGCTGCTCCTCAGAAACCCTTCATAGGGTCACTATGAGTCGGAACTAACTTGATGACACTTAACAACAATAACAATTAGTAGTTTAAGTTCATCAATACTAAAATGCAAAAGTCTGATCTAAAATGCTTAAGTCTGATCTAAAATGGATGTGAAAGCTGGACAGTGAATAAGGAAGATCGCAGAAGAATTGATGCCTTTGAGTTGTGGTGTTGGAGGAGAATACTGAAAGTGCCATGGACTGCCAAAAGAACCAATAGATCTGTTTTGGAAGAAGTACAGCCAGAGTGCTCCTTGGAGGCCAGGATGGCTAAGCTTTGTCTCTCATATTTCGGACATATTGTCCGGAGGAAACAGTCGCTGGAGAAGGATGTCATGCTGGGTAAGGTGGAGGGTCAGAGAAAAAGAGGAAGACCCCTAACGAGATGGATAGGCCAGGTGGCATCATTGATGGACTCAAGTGTAGCAGCGGTAGTGAGGTTGGCCCAGGATCGGACATTGTTTCGTTCTACTGTGCATGGGGTCACTTTGGTCGGTTCCGACTTGATGGCATCTGACAACAACAACAACATAGGAGAACTTATGTTCTGAAACACAAGATTCTGAAAATGTTACCCTGGAACCTTCCAAAGAATTTCTTTTTAAAAAAAAAAACACACCAAAAACAGATACATGATACCACAGATGGAAGGCAGAGAAGAGGATATGGAGAGAGGGAGCACAGCTGAGAGCTCTAGATTCATGGCAAGAGAGGGACTGAGCACTGGCGGCCAGGAGGCAGGCTTGCAAAATGTGCTCTTTAGTTGTTTAAATTTTAATATATTCCTGAGTGTGTATACACCTCCCTATGCTCCCTGCCCCCACAAAAACACAGGGAATGGAAGCAAATACTGCTGAATGATAAAGTATGGAGGAGATTGTAATCACTGCAATGAAAATGATGGTGTAAAGTTGATGTTCTCCCATGTAAACTATCACTCAGTTCACAAAAAAGATACCTGAATTTAGAGAACATCTCAAGAACAAATCTGAGGCATTAGGAGTCTATTTAACCAACCCTTAAACATCAGCTTCTCCATCTTGCTTTGGTTAATGAAACATAAGTATGTTAAGAAGTGAGGAAAGGTTTGAAAACTACTAGTGTACTTGGGCTTCCCCTTTCTGGTTACTTTTGAATGTCTGAAAGCATGTAAAGAAGTCTTCCAAGAAGAACTGTGATCTAAATAAAAGGGAGTTTGCTTTAATTAAGCCACCAAGTTTTAGACTGCTTTGCTATGAAGCAAGCGCTAACTAATATAAAAGATAAAGTTTATATTAAATCATTTTATTTAAGGGCCTAGTGTTAGTCAAATTCCATCCAAAGCTTTTTCTTATATAGTTTCTAACTTGGACTCTAAAGAAAGTTAGTCTGGTCCTCTCCTCTTTATCCAGATTACTTTATAATCCCACTATTCTAAGGAAGAAAGAAAGAAAAAAAAAGAATGATATGATACAGTATTTATAAAAAAGCTCCAGGAAACGTGAGTGCCTCCTGTGCTGCCTCACTTTCTTGAAAGATTTCAATTTTTATTCCGTCGATTCCTGGTGCCTTGTTCATTGCCAATTTCTTCAATGCACCTTGGACTTCCTCCTTCAGTATTATAGGCTCTTGATTATGTTATCTCTTGATATGGTTGAACATTAACCATTTCCTTTGGTACAGTGACTCTGTATTCCTTCCATCTTCTCTTGATGCTTTCTGCATCATTCAATGATTTGTCCAGAGAATCTTTTAATAACGAAAGTTGAGGCTTGAATTTTTTCTTCACTTCCCTCAGCTTGAGAAATGCTGAGCATGTTTTTCTTTTTAAGTTTTCTGGTTCCAGATCTTTGCACATTTTGTTGTAATATTATGCTTTATCTTCTTCAGCTATCTTTGAAATTTTCTGCTCGGCTCTTGGACCTTCCCATTTCTTCCATTTGCTTTAGCATCTCTACGCTGGAGAGCAAGTTTCAGTGTCTCACCTGACATTCATTTTGACTTTTTCCTTCTTTCTTGTCTTCTTAATGACTTCTTGCTTTCTTCATGTCATCCCACAACTCTTCTGGTCTTTGGTCTTTAGTGTTTAATGTATCTAGATGATCTCTAAATTCAGGTGGGATATATTCAAGGTCATATTTTGGGTATTGTGAATTTGTTTTCATTTTCTTCAGCTTCAGTTTGAATTTACATAGGAATAACTACTGATGATCTGTCTGTTCCAGTCTTCCCCTGGCCTTGCTTTCACTGATGATATGGAGCTTTTCCATCGTCTCTTTCTGCAGATGTAGTCAATTTGATTTCTATGTATTCCATCTGGCGAGGTCCATGTGTAGTTGTCTCTTATGCTGTCTAAAGAAGGTATGTGAAACGAATAAATCATTGATTTTGCAGAATTCTATCATGCAATCTCCAGCATCATTTCTATTGCCAAGGCCATATTTTCCAACTGGATCCTTCCTCTTTGCTTCCAACCTTTGCATTCCAATCACCAGTAATGATCAATACATCTTGAATGCATGTTTGATCAATTTCAGATTGGAGAAGTTGGTAGAATTATTCCATTTCATCCACACTGGCTCTAGTGGTTTGTGCATAAATTTGAATAATAGTGGTATTAATTGGGCCTCCCTGTAGGCGCATGGATATTATCCTATCACAGACAGCGTTGTACCTCATGACTGATCTGGGTATGTTCTTTTTGACAATGAATGCAACACCATTCCTCTTCAATTTGTCATTTTCGGCACAAGAAACCATGTGGTCATCATATTCAAAATGGACAATACCAGTCCTTTTCAGCTAACGCCTAAGATATTGATGTTTATGCGTTCCATTTAATTTTTGACAACTTCCAAATTTCCCAGATTCATATTTCGTACAATTCATGTTCCGATTTTCAATGGAAGTTTACAGTTGTTTCTCTTCATTTTGAGTAGTGTCCCATCAGCAAATGAAGGCTTTCCTCCCACGGGCTTTACTCCATTCACGTCATCACGGTCAACTTTGTTTTGAAGAGGCAGCTCTACCAGAGTTGCATTTTAAGTGCCTTCCAACCTGAGGGGCTCATTTTCTGGCACTGTATCTGACAGTGTTTCTCTTCTATTCATAAGGTTTTCAGTGACTAAATATTTGGAAGTAGTTCATCACTCCTCCTTCCTAGTCTCTATATTCCTCTGGAAGCTCATTTGAAACCTGTCCACCATGGGAGGCACAGGAGGCATTCACTCATCTCTGCCAAGAAATTTGGAAGACAACTATCTGGCTGACTGATTGGAAGAGATCCGTATTTGTGACCAATCCAAAGAAAAGTGACCCAACGGAAAGCGGAAATCATCGGACAATCTCTTTGATATCCCATTCGAGTAAAGTTTTACTAAAGGTAATACAGAAACGGCTGCAAGCATACATTGACAGAGAACTTCCAGAGGTTCAAGCTGAATTCAGAAGAGGCCATAGAATGAGGAATATCATTGCTGATGTCCAATGGATCTTGGCTGAAAGCAGAGAATATCAGAAAGATGTTTACCTGTGCTTTACTGACTACACAAAGGCTTCTGATTGTGTGGATCATGACAAGCTATAGACAACACTGCGAAGTATGAGTATTCCAGAACACTTCATTGTGCTCATGAGGAATCTGTACCTGGACCAAGAGGCAGTTGTTCAAACAGAACATGGGAACAATAAATGGTTTAAAATTAAGAAAGGTGTGCAACAAGGTTGTATTCTTTCACTATACTTATTCAACCTGTATGCTGAGCAAATAATCCGAGAAGCTGGGTTCTATGAAGAAAAACATGGCATCAGGATTGGATGAAGACTCTTGAACAACCTGCAATATGCAGATGATACAACCTTGCTTACTGAAAGTGAAGAGGATTTAAAATATTTACTGATGAAGATCAAAGAGCACAGCCTACGGTATGGATTACATTTCAATGTATAGAAAAAAAATATCCTCGCCATTGGACCAATAAACAACATTCTTAATCAAGGGAGAAAAGATTAAAGTTGTCAAAAATTTCATTCTTCTTGGATCAACTATCAACACTCACAGAAGCAGCAGTCAAGAAATCAAATGACGTATTGCATTAGGCAAATCTGCTGCACAGGACCTTTTTTAAGTGTTAAAGAGTAAAGATGTCAGTTTGAGGACTAATGTACACCTGACCCAAGCCAGGGTGTTTTCAATAACCTCATATGCATGTGAAAGCTGGACAATGAATAAGGAAGATCGGAGAATTGATGCTTTTGAGTTGTGGGGTTGGAGGAGAATATTGAAAGTGCCATGGGCTGCCAAAAGACCATCAATAGATCCTTTTTGGAAGAACTGCAGCCAAAGTGTTCCTTTGAGGCCAAGATGGCCAAACTTCGTCTCTCATACTTTGGACGTATTGTCAGCAGGGACCAGTCGCTGGAGAAGGATATCATGTTTGGTAAGGTGGAGGGTCAGAGAAAAAGAGGAAGACCCCCAGTGAAATGGACTGGCCAAATGGCAGCATCAATGGACTCAAGTGTGGCAACAGTAGTGAGGTTGGCCCATGACCAGGCAGTGTTTCGTTCTGCTGTGCATAAGGTTGCTCTGAGTTGGTACCGACTCAATGGCACCTAAGAACAACAGGAAACATACTAATATGTAAGTCATTAGCAACATGTGGAGGTTGAGTGCAGGAAAAACAGATAGAGACAAATGACTGACTAATACTTTTGGATGTGGTGGTGGTTGTGTGCCACCGAGTTGGTTCTGACTCATAGCAACCCTGTATAGGGTTTCTGAGGCTGTAAATCTTTACGGGAGCAGAGAGCCTAACCTTTCTCCTGTGGAACTGGTGGATTACTACTGCTGACTTTGAGGTTAACAGGCCAGTTTGTAAAATATTATTATTTAGTTCATCTGAAATTTTTTATCTTTCTTATTCTGGCTACTAGGAAAACATGAAATTTATATGACGCTATGTTTCTATACAATACACTGCTCTAGAACATATTTTAAAATAATGTTTGGTTTATAATAAACAAAGCAAAACTGAACTGAAAGTCTGAGGTTTAGTTCTGCTGTCCAGTAATTTGACCTTAAGAAAGCTAGCACAGATCCTTGCTGTGCATTTGTTTCCCTGTTTCTTAAGAGTTGAGAAGATATCACTTTCTTAAGCACTGAGCAATTCTCCTTGCCTGTACTGAGGTTACAAACAATACTTATAATCCCTACTTCAGAGTCCAGTACTTCATTATATAATATCTTATAACATTTGTTTTACATTTATTATTTGTTGTCTCTTATTTGTTCATTCTTTGAGGGTAGCAAGGGCTGCCTTAAGAGAATTTTGTTGTGAAACTTTACCTCATCCATCCTAAAGCATGTATCTTGTCCCTCCCAGACTTTCTGTTCCAAAACTTAAAGAATATTGAAAAGGAACACAATTTGAGCCCCTCAAAGATGCCCAAACTGCTTTTTCAAGATGACGTAAATCAAATAACATAGAATTCTTCAGGGAAGGAGCAGAGATGGAAATACTTCCTTCAGAAGTCTACAGACACAGGAGGAGGATATGTTGAGAAATAATAGCTTCACGTTTTGAGATTTTGTTTAATATAAGTTTCTATGAATAGCAGCAATATTTTTTGCTTCAACCTCATTAAGAGTTCTTATTTGCACTTTTCTATTGTTCCATAACTTTACTACATTTGGTACACAAGAGGCAATCAATAAATGGACACTACACTTTAAAATGATTCTAAAAGAGCCAAAATAGTTTTCAGATAATAGAATTTTGGTTGATTTCCCTTCATGTGAAATCATTTAAGAGAAAGAGTTCGTTACATACAAGCATACCTTAGAGATACTTCAGTTTCTGATCACTGCAATACAAACATCACATGAAAGCCAGTCACACAAAAAATTTTTCTTTGTTTCCCAGTACATATAAAAGTTATATTTATACTACATTAGTGTACAACACTATGAAAAAGTTTAAAATATTGTAAGAATTACCAAAATGTGGCACTGAGACAAAAAGTGAACACAAACTGATGGAAAATGGTGTAACAGACTTGCTCGACTTATGGTTGCCACAAGAACGGCAATTTGTGAAAAACACAGTATCTATGCAGCTCAATAAAGTAAATCACAATAAAACAAGGCATGCCTGTAAGTCTAAAATATCTTAGTGAGACATGACACTTCAATGTACACAGCAAGAACAAGAGCCATTTAAAAAGAGTGTTTAAGAAAATAACTTACTTGATCACTGAGAAGAGAGTTCTAAAAAGTTGAATAAAAATTTCATTGCAATCTTCCAATTCAAAGCAGATGTTGTATGATTTAACCCAAGCTAAATTCTTTAAAAATAAATAAACAAATAATGTAATTGTATACACAAAATATTTACAATAAAGCAAAATCATTAATACGGAATTTATTTTAGAACTAGAAATTGCAGTAAATCCTTTAAGGACCCTAAAGTAAAATATAAATATAAAATTAATTATGTACCCTGACATAATTTTAAAATACACACATCAGTTGGCATTGGCCTTCTCATATTGGAAAATACTAAATTGTTGGAAGTTGGTAGATTCATATATATATTAATATAAGAATAGTGAAAACTAATACAATTTCATATTATGAAAAAAATGTAAAAATCAAAAGTAGAAAATAAAGACTAGTGTTTCAAACATAAGTTTTTCTAGTGAAATATATTTTATGTCTTCATAACATGACGAATAAAAAGACTGTTTCTTTTGTGAAATGTAAAAGATATTTCATTAAGTATGTTTTATAAACCAAAAAGAGATGAATTTTACAGTATAAAATTACTACACAGAATCTATTATGCACGATAAACAAAATACTATGTATTAGGTGTTGTCAAGTCAGTTACTAAATAAATGTATTAAATAAATTTTTTTACCTCTAATAAATAAAAGTATCTATTAAATTGTGGACTCTTTGTATCCTCCAAACCTTTTAATTGTCTGGTAATAAACAAAAATATGTCCTGTCAAAAAAATGATGAGATATATTAATTCAGAAACAAGTATTTACTATTCTTTCACAACGTAATAGTCTGCACATAGCATCCAGTACAAAAAACAATAATAGAACAATTTTTATTTGAACGTCTAAGCTAATTGGCTTACTCCTTTATTCAAGGGACCTGGAAAATATTAAATTGCCTAAAATTACATCCTGTAGAAGCAATACTACAGATCATTACTTCCACAAATCTCTAGGCTTTCTTATTCAGAGAGGAACCCAGAAGAGTCTTGGTTTATTACCTTTTCCTCTATAGCACTTCCCCTTTACTCACTATCTGCACCTTGTTGCTGTTGCTATTAAGTGCTGTCGAGTCAGTTCCAACCCATAATGACCCTGTATAGGGTTTCCGAGACTGTAAATCTTTACAGGAGCAGAAAGCCTCATCTTTCTCCCATGGAACCACTGGTAGTTTCAAACTGCTGACATTGAGGCTAGTAGCCCGACTTGTAACCACAACACTACTGATCTTCATTTTCAGGAGCTAGATTAAAGCTTTTAGAAGTTTTAGCTCAAAATATCATGAGACAAGATGAGTTTCAGACTGGTGATGCTATGGGTTATATGTTGGGTTGCTAACCATAAGATTCAATCCCATCAGCTACTCTGCACGACAAAGATGAGGCTGTCTGCTTCCTTATAGATTTATAGATTCAGAAACTACATAGGGTCTTTTGGAGTAAGAATCAATTTGATGGCAATGGGTTTCTTCTTCTTCTTTTTTCCTTTAAAGAATGTAATCCAAAGGTTTAAAATATAAACTCAATATAAGAGGAATATTTTGAACCAAGGTAGAGATGAGTATACAGTTTTCCATACTGAATAACTAGTAGGGGAAAATAATCATTTCCTTGTGTCAATTTTGGTGTATTATTTTTTAAAAACAGTATTACTAACCTGCTACTTGTGCCTTCAATTTTACCATTTGAGCTTTCTGGTCAGTTATCCTGAAGGTAAATGAATAGATGGGGACCAGTTTTGATTTGTAGCTGTTAATGCCTTACAAAAATAACAGGAATTCTTGTGGACGCTCAACGAATATTAAATGAATAATTAGTTTGCTTTACTATTTACAAATAATATAAACTTCATAAAGAGCTCAGGTAGTATAGTGGTTATGAATCAGGCTGCTAACCTCAAGGTCGGCAGTTCGAGACTACCAGCTGTTTCGCAGGAGAAAGATGAGGCTTTCTGCTCCCATAAAGATTTACAGCCTCGGAAACCCTGTATAGGGTCACTATGAGTTGGAACTGACTCAATGGTACTTAACAAAATGATTACATGAATAATTAAATCTAGGTTCAAAGAGTAAGCTAAACTAGAAAAATAAAAGCAAAAGGATTTTGTAAAGATTATATTTACCTTAAGTTTATCATGGGAAGTATATGGCGCTTCTGGGGCATAAATTCGAAAGATGTCAGCCAAACAACATGCTACAAGGAGACGCACATCTTTATTGGGATTCCTGAGGAAGAATTCAGATGCAAGATGCAAGGCCAGTGGGAGATACTGCTGCTTTTCATCTTCTGAGTCCTGATCCATATCCATAAAAGTTTTCACTACCATCTGTAATCATTTATAAAAGAGAAATAGAATTAATTCTTAAATGTACAATTCATTGGAGAATGTACTTTAAAAACTTAAGAATTTAGGTTAAGCTCACAAACATAAAAAGGCTACTATTATCAAAGTAAACTGTATATATAAACAAATGTCAACTTTTAGCTTATTTATAGACACATCTACATTGGCAACAGATTTATTAAGAATGTAATACTCTCATTCTTTTTATTTCTGTTGTTGTTATAAGTGCTGTCGAGTTGGTTTCGACTCATAGCAACTCTGTATAGGGTTTCCGAGGAGCAGCTGGTGGATTTGAACTGCTGACCTTGTGGTATGCAATCCAGTGCTTTATCCTACAACACCACACCTTTTAAGATTCCCTTTATTGATCTGTGAATTAGAGGGAAGGAACAATAGCAGGGAAATACATTTGTATATAAAAACAACAGGTATTGTTGAGTAAGGAGGAAGGAGTCCTGGTGTTGCATTATAATACAATGCACTGGAACACAAGGTTGATTTGAACTGCAAGGTCAGCAGTTAAAACTCACCAGCAGCATCCTGGAGACCCTATATAGGCTGGCTAAGGGTCAGAATTGACTTGGTAACACTTAACAACAATAACAAAGGAGGGAGAAAAAGTAAAAACTCAAGGTTAGCAGTTCAAACCCACCAGCTGCTCCTCAGAAACTCTATATGGGGTCACCATGAGTCATAACTGACTCAATGGCACTTAACAACACAGGCAAAATACTGACTGAAACAGAAAAGATAAGAAGATGGAAGGAATACATACAGTCACTGTACTGAAAAAAGAAATGGTCAATATTCAACCATTTTAAGAGGTAGCATCTGATCAGGAACTGGTGATACTGAAGGAATTAGTCCAAACTGCAATGGAGACGATGGTGAAAAACAAGGCTCCAGGAATTGACAGAACACAAATTGAAATCTTTCAGCAAACTGATGTGGCATTGGAGGCGCAAATTCATCTGTGCCATGAAATTTGGAAGACAACTACTTGGCCAACTGACTAGAAGAGATCCATATTGTGTAATTACAAGAGAGATGACCCAACGGAATGCAGAAATCATGGAACACTATCATTAATATAGCATGCAAGTAAAATTTTGCTTAACATACTTTACAACAGTACACAGGGAACAACTTCCACAAATCTAAGCTGGATTCAGGAAAGGATGTGTGGAACTAGGGATATCATTGCTGATATCAGATGGGTCTTGTCTGAAAGCAGAGAATACCAGAAAGATGTTTGTTGTTGTTTTGCTGGTGTGTGTCATTCATTGAGTTGGTTCTAATTCATATTGACCCTGCATAGGATTTGCCCCAGTGTCTGGTGGGTTTGAACAGTTGACCTTGCATTTACAGTGGTTAGTTGTTGTTGTCAGGTGCCATCGAGTCAGTACCAACTCATAGTGACCTTATGCACAACAGAATGAAACACTGCCCAATCCTGGGCCAACCTCACTATTGTTGCCATGCTTGAGCCCGACGATGCTGCCACTTGGCCAATCCATCTTGCTGGGGGTCTTCCACTTTTTCTCTGACTCTCCACCTTACCAAACATGATATATCACACCAGGGTTCCGTAAGATGTTTACTTGTGCTTTATTGACTATGCAAAGGCTTTTGACTGTGTGGATCATGACAAGCTATGGATAAAACTGAGATGAATGAGAGGATTCCAGAACACTACATTTTGCTTATGAAAAACCTGTACATAGACCAAGAGGCAGTTGTTAGAACAGAACAAGGGGAATACTGAACAGTTTAAAATCAGGAAAGGTGTGCACCAGGGCTGTACACTTATTTAATTTATATTCTGAGTAAATAATTCAAGAAGATGGATTATATGAAGTAGCATGTGGCATCAGGATTGGAAGAAGACTGAATAACAACCTGAGAGGTGCATGCTGAAAGTAAAGAGGAGTTAAAATACTTACTGACAAAGATCAACGACTACAGCCTTTGGTATGGATTGTACCTCAGTAAAGATAACAAAAACCTTCAACTTGACCAGTAAATAACACCATGATAAATGGTGAAAAGACTGAAGTTGTCAAAGACTTCATTTTGCTTGAATCTGCAATCAACACTCATGGGGATCAGCAGTCAAGAAATCAAATGATGTATTGCATTAGGCAAATCTGCTGCAAAAAACCTCTTTAAAGTGTTCAAGAGTAAAATACCAGTTTGAGGACTAAGGCATACCTGACCCAAACCATGGTATTGTCAATTTCCTCACATGCATGTGGAAGCTGGACAATGAATAGGAAAGCAATAAAACTGATGTATTTGAATTACTGTGTTAGAGAGAATATTAAAAATACCAAGTACTGCCAGGTGAACAAACAAATCTGTGCGAGAAGAAGTACAACCAGAGTACTGCTTAGAAGCCAGGATGGTGAGACTTCATCTCTCATAAGACGAACACCACAGTTGGCAAACAGAGGGTCATCCAAAAAAAAAGACCCTCCCTACCTCCCCCAAGGATATGGATTGCTACAGTGGCAGCAGCAATGGGCTAAAAATGTAACAACAATTGTGAGGATGGCAATGGACTGGGCAGTGTTTCATTCTGTTGGAGCAACTACAGCAACAAATATCTGACCCCTAATTCTGTGATTGTTGTTGTTGTTAAGTTCCGTCAAGTCACTTCTGACCCACAGGGACCCTGTATAGGGTTTCCAAGGAGTAGCTGGTGAGCTTGAACCACCGATCTTATAGTTCAAACAACTTTGCAGTCTGATGCATTAGCCCATAGTGCCACACCAAGTGCCCACCAGGACATTCTTTGTATATAATTTTAATCCAAGTTTATAGTTTTAAAATGAACTCAATTTGGTCAGAGTGCTTTTGTTTATCACTGGATTTGATTTACTATTGCAGTGTTTACATTTTTCTTGTATATTCATGACAGAAATTGGCTTGTAATTTTCTTTTAAGATATCTTGTCATACTTACTACTGAGGCTATACTGGTATGAAACAAATTGAGAAGTATTCCTTAATTATGGAAAATTGGTAAGACTGATTTTCTTTCTTCCTTAAAATCTAATTGTATTAAAGAAAGAAACATAATGAAAATTAGAAAGCATTTTGAACTGAATAATAATGAAGATAAACTATCAAAACTTATGAGGTGCAGTTGAAGCTGTGCTTAAGGAGAATTCAGTCTTCAATGTGTCTATCAGAAAGATAGAATGAGGTATTAATGATCTACATTCCATCTCAAGAAGTAAGAATAATGGCAATTAAAAAAAAAATCAATGACAAAGGCTATAGAAAAGAACAATCGACAGAACTCTAGCTTGAATAAATACAGAAAAGTGAATTAACAACAAGAATAGTTTTTTACTTTGTATATTTTCACTAAAATAATACAGGGGAGTTTTCAACAACACAGGTTTGAAATGCATTAATTTTTTCCCCTCCTGCTACTGTGTACGCCACTAAAAATGCTGTGTGATGCTAACTGTCTCTACATGAGCAGTTTGTCTCTCCAGTAATTGCTAACCCCACACCCTTACATCCCCACTAACTGGAAAAAGACAAAATGTTCTTGAGGAGACAGTTTATGTCACATGGAGTTTTTAAGCAGATACTGGTAACACTTGAGCTCACTACAGTAGCAACAGGAAAAAAATCCACATAAGTGGGACTCATGCAGTTCAAACCTGTTTTGTTCAAGGGTTAACTCTAAATTATACTCAGATTTTCAAATGTGCAGAAGAGGTTGGCATTCCTAACCCAGGTGTTGGTCAAGAGTCAACTGTGCATGTTAAAGAAAAAGAAAAAAGCATTATCAACATCATATATAAGATTTAAGAAATGCAACTATCTAGAATAAAAAACAGGACTTATTACTATACATCCTAATAGTATATTAGAAAAAAGAAAATCTGTTACATGGGGAAAAATCGGAATGATCTTGTGTCTATGAACAGAAAGTGAGTTTGAAAGAAAGAAATTTCTATGAAAAGAAACTGAATTTGCTCATATGCAAGCTCAGGATGAAGCTGAAAAAGATTCAAACAAGCTAAAACATGATCTTAAGTATATCCCACCTAAATTTAGAGACCATTTCAAGAACAGATTTGATGCAGTGGATACTAATGACAGAAGACCAGAGCATTTGTGGAATGACATCAAGAATATCAAACATGAAGAAAGCAAAAGGCCATTAAAAAGATAGGAAAGAAAGATAAGACCAAATGGATGCCAGAAGAGACTCTGAAAATCACTCTGAACATAGAGAAGCTAAAGTGACTGAAGAAATGAGGAAGTAAAAGAGCTCAACAGAAAATTTCAGAGGGTAGCAATAGAAGACAGAGTATTATAATAAAATGTGCAAAGACCTGAAGTTAGAAAACCAAAAGGGAAGTTCTTTCTCAACTGAAAGAACTGAAGAAAAATTTCAAGCTCTGAGTTGAAATACTGAAGGATTCTAAGGGCAGAGTATTGAATGATACAGGGAGCATCAAAAGAAGATGTAAGGTGTCTTAGTTCTCTAGTACTGTTATACCAGAAACACCACAAGTGTATGACTTTAACAAACAGAAATTAATTTGGTGTCTGAATATAGGACACCAGCTACGGATAAGGTCGTTTTCTTTTGAGCATCTGTAGGCCCAGCATTCCTTGGAGAGCTCCATGTGACTTGACATCAACCATTCCCCTGGAACTAGCAGCTTCACAGTGCAGGGACTCTAGGTCCAAAGGACACACTCCACTACTTACTATTCTTTCTTGCTGGTTGTTGTTGTTAAGTGCCACTGAGTTGGTTCTAACTCATAGTGACTCTATATAGGTTTTCCAAGGAGCAACTGATAAGTTTTAACTGCAACCCTGTGGTTCAAACTGACCTGTAGTCCAGTGCTTCCTCCCAAGTGCCACACCAGGACACTTCATGGTGGTAGTGGATCGCTTTCTCTTTGCTCACACTTCTCTTCTTTTCTCTTGTATAAGATCAAAGGTGTTTAA